ACGTTGGTGTCCACTGGCCATCTTGGCTGATGGCCATTCACATATTACCATATTCTGTTATTCTTTTGAGTTTAGCTGCTGTAGTTAGTGGCTCTGAGTGCCATGAAAATTACTCAGCAGCCTTAAGCATATTGGTATTTTATCTAATGGAGGTCAAATTAGAACACGGCCTCTCATGGACCTTATATATTACCACTGTTTTGGCAGCACTTCTCTGATGATCCAAAAGCATGCAGTGTGGATAAAGATATGCACACTTTTTAATTATGAAGTTTGATCCAGTTTTTAATTTGGCTTTTTTGTTGGATGGTTTTTGTTTTATGGAGTTTTGGAATTCTTGCTACCAAGCTTCAGAGTCAATATTTTCTGTTATTTAAAGGGAACGTTTGAGTAGTATTTTTCCGCAATCCACACCCTTCCAGATGTATTGAACTGGTTGGAAAGTGTCAAAGTTACACCCGAGGAGCATCTGGTTTGGGAAGACTACATTGGAGTGATTCAGGGCATTGCAACCTCCCATTGTGATACTAATATAATATTGGCCATACTTTAAATCAGACTTCCCCAATTTGATGTCCTTCAGGTACATTAGACTACAATTCCTATAATCCCCAATCCACATACTTGGTGGCCACAAGGTTATGGGTGATGGGAGATTTCATTCTGTACTTTTGGAAAATCCCATGATGGAGGCAGCTGTTTCATAGATTTCTGTATGACTTGCTCTCAGCATGATTCAGACAGGATGTATTGTATGGATAACTGAAGACTCACAGAGTATGCCTGATCTAATGTAACCTCATTTGTTTACCTCTTTGATAGGTTGTATGTGCAGAGGGCCATGTAACCAAGACCCTGAATTATCTTGAGATGAGCCCTTCAAGTGTCTTGAAGACTGGACCATATGGTAGCTCTTTCAAACCCCACTCACTCAGCCCTGGTCGGATATTTTCCAATGAGCCATCCAAAGCCAAGCTGGACCCTTTTGGTGGTGCACTGAGTCCATGGGACTGGACCAAGAACCAGACAGCCATGGAGCACTTCAATCAGCGAGCCAAAAGGAAGCCCTCCATGAAGGCAGGTCGTACCAAGAAGATCTTTGGATGGGGGGACTTTTATTTCAACATCAAGACCCTGAAGTTTAGCCTCCTTGTAACAGGCAAGATTGTGGATCACATTAATGGCACCTTCAGTGTCTATTTCCGACACAACTCCTCCAGCCTGGGCAACGTCTCAGTGAGCATTGTGCCACCCACCAAAGTTGTGGAATTTGATGTCTTGGTTCCCCCTATCTCCACCCAACATCTCCATCCCCAGCAGTCCACCTTAGCTGAGCCGAAGGAATCCAAGACCTTCAATTGTCATGTGGAGTATGAGAAGACGAACCGGGCACGCAAGAATAAGCCCTGCCTCTATGATCCATCCAAAATCTGTTTCACTGAGCATACACAGAGCCATGCAGCCTGGCTCTGTGCTAAACCATTCAAGGTCATCTGCATTTTCATCTCATTCTTCAGCATTGATTACAAGCTGGTTCAGAAAGTCTGTCCAGACTATAACTTCCAGAATGAGAATCCCTACTTTGGCTGATGTGAGGAATGGGCCTTTGAGGGATGGGGATGTGGGGATGAAATAAGTTGTGATTTTTATCCAGCAGAGAGTCAGAACTTTGGATGACTGGGGAAGAAAATATGAACTCCCTACCATACTTGATAGGACAAAAACAGCTGGTTTGGTTTAGGAACTGGATGCTGTTCCATCAGACATTCCACTTCTAGTAGCCAGTGAATTTCCCAGGACATTAGGAAGATGAAGAGTCACCAGAGGGACAATATTGTTTTCACAACTCATTCATCCCCTTTCTGATGCCATTTGGGAGCATCTCATGGGGATTCCCTGCAAGATGAAGAAATAGCTTGCTGTGGCTGTATCTCTTTTGTGCATACATAACCCCTGCTGCTTTGGTGGGGTTCTTACACTGATTACATGCTCACATCCCTCAGGATCATGCCTCCCAGGTAGAATGTGAAGGTTCAGGTAGCAGGGACAGATCTCTCTCTTCCTCAGGCTAAGTCACACATCATCCAACTGAGTTGTCCTTGGTATTCTCATGGACCTAACCGAGGGTGGGGGAATAGTATATTAACCAAGTGTGCTAATTCACTTCTCATCAGAGAACGTAGAAGAGCAAATGTCAACAGGGTTGAAGGATACTTGTGTAGGGCAGGAATTCCAGCTGCATGAACTTTACTGTTCCAATAAGGAGAGACAAAATGTGGAAGAGGCAGCATATTAAATCTGGGGATCTGTATCAACTGGAGTTGAACTATGTGTAAAGAGGGCACTTGGGATGGGAGCGAGTAAGATCATGGCATAAGGCATTTGCCTGAGCAAAGCAGGAGAAATGGGAGGTATGTAAGAATATATGTTGATGCAGCCAGGACAGTACAGATTGTGTGTGTGTGTGTGTGGGTGGGTTTGTATGTGAGAAAGTAGAACCATGATATCCAAAGCCATGTGTAAGGCAATGATTGAAATTAATCAAAAGTATGTGCGCAAAAGTTACAGCATGTATGTATATGCAGCATGATAGATAGCCCAAACTTGTGACCCATTAGGCACCTACCTGTCACCTTAATGACATGTACCCACAAGAACATTTATATGAGTATGTAAGGAGAAACATATATGTATGTTAAGCGTGTGCGTGAATTGAACTAGGTCTGCAGGTTTTCAGTGATTGATTCAGCAGGTACCTTAACTAGACCCTTAGCCACAGATTAAAAGTTGATTGGCAGGCCCAAGACTGAAAGGCACCTCATGATGTAACCTGGCCCAGTGTACCAAGTCTTTTCTCCCGGTGGATTGGTGTTCCTTCCAGTTTACCTCCTAAATGAACTGACTTTGGGTTTCATGTCCAAGTGAAACCATTGGGCTTTCCTTACAGCAGTCAGAGTCCAGTGCAGGTAGGATTGGGAGTGCTCAGTCAAATGACTGCGGTCTTTTAAATGGTTGCATTTGCTTATTAAATTGTAACCATCCTCTTGCTTAATAGAAACCCAGGACATCCCTTCAGCCACTTCCAACAGGCACGAAGTATATTTTTCGCAGTTTGGGTAAATGTTTAAGTCAACAATTCGGTAATTCCCAAGATGGAGGTTGGGTACTGAATGTATCATTAGTATCAGCACTCCTGGTATCAGTTTCCATTTAGTCTTAAGGGATAAAAAGGCTGTTTCCACACAACAGACTCAACAGAACTGGGTGGTTGTGTTGTATGAAGCAGCATCGGGTTAAGCCATAATATGGTTTAATTTGGTTGGACATACCATATTATGTGAATTTATAGACTACATTAATCTAGGTTTAGACCTTAGTTTATTATGTAAGCCTTGCCAGAAAATTATTGCTCTCCCCAGCTCTGAAGACACAAAAGCCATTCGTCCCCATCTATTTCTGCCCTTGTTCAATACACAACTGAAAAGAGCTTTTTTTCCCTTGGAAGAGTTATTCTAAAAGCAGCTTACTATGTTTCTGCTCTTTGTCACCTTGTGGTGTAGAATGGTATGGAGGCTTTAAATTAATATATGAGAGGCTATTTTGGATTACCTGGCATTTGGGCAGGAGGGTGACTAGATTATATTCTGGCTACTTCCAGTTCTTTGATGCTGAATTTTCTTTATGTTTCTTATTGCATATCAGCTGCTCTACTTGCAAAGATTACAAAAATCAGTTCTGGAGGTCTGTAAAGGCCAGATTTGTAAGTCAACAGGGAAAATGATAAGTGTGTGTTTTGACAACATCTGCTATACTAAAAAATCCTATCAGTATTTGTTTTAAAGAACAAATTGCAAATGCAGAAATATCATATAGCTCAATGTTTTCTGAACCACTTTACATCAGGAAGAGTAGGTGAGAAATCACATGCTTGAATACTTTCCCTCCTATATCAAACATTCCTTGCCTTTATAAATCTAGCATATCAGGGAGAAGAGCCATGCTTAGCCTTTGTCCTGACATCTAGTCTTCTAAATGCAGAATTTGGATTGGTTCATTTAGTTTTGCGGAACTAGAATAATATCCAAACATTTAATTATTCCCCTGAATTCCAAAATAAGCATAGTCCCAGGAAAGCAGGTCCACGTGATATTCCTAAATGTGTAGTTCAGCTGCAAGAGTTCAAACACTAGAAATTAAACATTCTTTGCTGTTCAAATGTCCAAATCAAACCTAAAAACCAGATGTGGCTTCTTGGAGAATGACTTGAATTTTAACTTGCACCTTTTGTGAAGACAGTTTTGGCCTAGAAAAATCTCCTTTGCCTTCCCCTAAATATATTTACTTCCACGAGTGAAGAATATGTGATACAAGACTGGTTAGGCAAGTTCTATCATGTCAGGTTCAGAAACAAGGAATTACGAACCCATATTAATGGCAGGTGTTGAATCTGAAGATACTGCGACTTCCCTTATAGGTCTGATATCTCTGGGAGCTTTGTGGGTGATGTTTACAAATAAAGAAAAGATGCAAAGTAAATTCATACATTGGAGATCATGAATCAAATGTTTACCTCAGCTTCTGCCTGAGCAATTGGTTTTAGTGTACAAACTATACTTCTGCTAGCCACATCAAAACAAAATTGCGGACAGCCAAAACTCTGTGAAAGATTGTCTCTCAGCTATATTTGGGGTGTGTGTAACTGTATCAGTACACACAGCTGTAAAAGGCAACTTGAGAGTACAGGTGGTTGTGTCTATCCCTGATTGCGCAACAGCGTTTGACATTCAAACAAGAGGGATTAGGCAATTTTATGGATAAATCTGCCTAATTCCACATAAGTTTCCCAAACATTTCCTCTGTAGGACACAATTTCCTTTTATCTGAATCTTCCTTTTACCTGAAGACACAGTTCATTCACTGAATGTATTCCAGGAATGCCAGCTAAGCATTTTTTTCTGTAAGGAAAGTCCAGTTACTGTATATGTTCTCCCACATTAATCTCGCCTACGCTTCAGCCTGGAATTCAGTGCTGTACATTCACTAGCTTACAGCATATGTCTCTGGTCACAACTGTTTATATTCTGTATTCATTTCTCTGTGTCTCATTATGGAAAAGAAAGCTCTCTTAAATGCAGAGATTGCACATGTATGCCTGGTTTTTCACCAGCATACAAGTTGGGAAACCACGCGGGGATAAATATAGTTAAACAGGTTCACAGACAATTTTCACATATAACAAAGTACACTCAGCGTTTGCCACTTGTACGCGTGTAGGAAAAACTCCATTTAGGGTGTGCCTCCTGTATACCTCTATGTCATACAATCATTTCTGGAATATAAAGAACCACTTTATAAGGAGTCAGGGTACTGCTTTAGGTAACCCATGGCTATATCCTGTGGCTGGCAGAGATGATCGAGGCTGTGGGCAGGACAGGGCAGAGCTGTGTGTGTGTGCACGCGCACGCACACACACACACAACTAGGTCCTTATCAGGTTTAGGCTTCAGGTTTTATGGGAGTCATCTCAAATCATTCAAAATAGCCCTGCTATGTTAGGCACTCCATGGTATTGCTTCCTGGGAAACTAAAAAATGATGGCTCACCAATGCAGATTGGAGCTAAGCAGCCAGGTGGCTACCCTGGAACATGTCATATCACCCTATAAGCCCGCCTGGGAGAGCAGACGAGGTTGATGTTTGTTCTAATGGGCCCTGCCAAGGCACATCGGTCCAGAAAGATGCTTAAGTATGCTGATGCTGAACCTAGGATATGGGCTCATCCTGGCTATGATCCCTTTAAACAAAGAAGGCAGGAATTGGACTGCATGGATACAACACATGCACCTCTCCTGCTGAGCTATGGCAAAAATAGGGGCTCCTAACGAGGAAGTAGCATTTTCACCTTGAAAGAACCGTTGGCTTTTAGTTGGCAAGGCAGCCGAGCTTGGAAACATGCCAGCAGCCGTTAATATAGTTTACATCACTGAACTACAAAGAAATCAAATGCACTTGTAAACACCTCATTCCTTTTTAATCTCACTTTCAGGGAGGGAGCACATGGGGGAGGAAAGAGCCATACAGAAATTGCTGGCAACTTGGTACTGCAGTGGTCCCGTATTGTCTGTGCACTGGGACACATGCAGAAACAAACCTTTTCTTGGTTAGTCTGTCCCATTCTTGCCTTATTTCTACATCTGGTCTCCTCTTCTTGTCTGCTGCAGCTGATGGCATAAGAAGCATCATTACATAAGCTTTTGCTATCGAGCTCCCATTACATTGCCTTTAACATCCATTTCATGCATCAGATCATACGGAGCATCGTATGGTGCGCTGTGAGTCTAAATCCTCCTAAGTGCTTATTCCAACTGCATCTGTCTAGTTGCTACAACACTCATCTGTGAGACTATTGTGAGTGTGTATGGATGGGTATACACAGGGGGAAGGATGCATGTACACATCTACTTGTGTGTGAGTGAGTTTAGCCGTGTGTAACTGCTGGATGAGGTGCACTAGGGATGCGCAGGAGGCACATATGCCTCAGACGAGATACCTGGCTGGGGCAGACTTCGCACCCTCTTGCAGAAGTTGCAA